GATTATCTGGGGCTTGGATGAGAGAGACATGAGCCAGAGATGGATGGCTGGTGACATCAGAATGGAGGGGCCTACTTGGAGGAGGGCTAGGTGTGTGTGGAAGGGGGCAGGTACAATTGGGCCTTGCCTCAGAGTTGTTTGAAGATTTATCATGAAGGGGAGAGTGATGGCCCTTGGCAGGGGCTTGCTGTGTACCAAGCCCTCGACCAGGTGCCCTAGAGGCCTAACATCCCTGAGGTAGTGTATAGGAAGATATTTCTTTCCTCGCCCATTGCTACTTCATGGCTGAGGCCCCTATAACAAAAGACATATTAACTAGAGAAAAGCAGGCAGATTTACTTAATGTAAGTTTTTCATGCCATGGTGGCCTTCAGAAATGAAGACCCCCTAAAGTCAGAGAAACCTGTGTATTTTCTGCTAAGTTTGATGAAGCATATAGTGTGGAGAAGTGTGACTGGCCCAACAAGGTGGGATCTAATGATAGTAAACCAGGGGGAACTTAGCAAGACCTCCCTTCAGATTCTTCTCCGTGTCCTTGTGTCTTCACAGCCAAGAATGTTCCTTTTCTTCAATACAGGGAGGATTTTTCTTATGACCTGCTTCAGGGACACAGGGTGGGTATCCCTGTATAAAGGTCAAATAGTGACCTTTTTAGGTTTTATGACCTGCTTCTGCTGTTTTCTCAAATGCCATGGTACCATATTTTAGGGTAACATGTCTCGAACCCCACTAGTAGATACTGTTATCTTCACCCTAGAAATGGGAAAGTTGAGGCTCAGAAAGATTCAGAGGTATGTTCAGGCCCACCCGGTGGGCTTGCGGCAGAGCTAGGATTCCAACTCAGATGTGAGGACTTAAGGCCTATACTCAGCCCCACATTTCCCTGAGACTTGCTCTTTGCAGCAAGGAGGTGACTCAGGGAGGCAGAAGTCTGAGCCTTTCAACAAAGAACAAGCAGAGGAATGTGGTCCTTCCTGTCAAGTTGGCCCTTGAAACTCTGCCCCTCATCCCCCAGACTCAGTTGGCATGAAGAATGCTGATTCCTGCCCACAGGTAGCCTGTAGAAGGAATATCTGATTGAGCAGATACTGGGTGAAAAAAGGGTTTCTGGCAGACAGACTTTTAAGGCAATTTCATGACTGTCTTTCTAAGACCTGCAAGGGAGATGGCTGACTGACAGCCTGAACAGAGAGGTTTCCCAGAAAACACCAGACCACTGACTGGCTGGCTGATAAGCACATGGACATGGTGTGCCCATGTGAATGACCAGCCGGTAACTGACCAACAGGCAGGCAGGCACACAGACCTATTGTCCACCAGCTCCTGCTGTGTGCTCCCAGCCCTGGGAACCAGTGGCTTACCTATGACCCCAAAACCTAGCTGCCTACCTAGGAGAGAAAGGGACTTTTTTTTTTAAAGTGGGGCCTGGCCCTCTGCCCTTCCCCTCATTCCTATAGGCGATGGCCAGCCCAGCCCAGCCCAGCCCAGGTTTACTCCCATAGCTGTCCCCTCCTCCTTTTAGGGCTTGCCCCTTATAAAGGCCTCACAGAAGAGGGAGGGGCCTCAGTGGCCTTCCACATGAGGAGGACACACAGCCCAGGAGTTCTGTCCTCAGTCTGGGAGTTGGATGGTTTCCTGCCAGCCCCTGGGTACAGGCTCCAACCCACAGGAAGGGTTTGGAGGGGCAGACAGCCTGCCTGACCAGGTCTACCCAGCAGTGGACTGACCACCACCACATGACTGCTGCTGCTCTGAATCCAGAGAGCCACAGTGGTGCTTTCCTCTTCCGCCAAGAAGTATAGGCTGTGGACTCTGCCCTCCAGAAACTGCCGTTTATTAAGAATAAATTATCTCAGGAAGACCTGAGCCTTAGCAGAAGAGGCTGACATGGAAGATTCAGGGAGAACCAGAGGTGAGGTTGGCTGGAGTAGGAGCTCACCTGAGGAGGTGAGCAGCCTCTGGGAGCGGGTAGGTGAGATGGGAGGGGTCAGAAACTTGGGGCTAGAAAGTTTGGAGCACAGAGGAGATGCCTCTGATGTGCCCAGGAAGCCAAGCCAAGGGTCCAGGATCTGGCCTATAGCCGTGGGGCCCCATGTTCTGAGCCGGCCCACTGACCCCTCCCCATCCATTCCCTGGGCTTCCTTCAGAGCTGGGGCTGCAGGTCAGTGACTTCTGCCCTCCCCCACTCAGCCCCAACCCTGGTTGGCCTGGCCCCTTGGTGGGGTGGCGCTGCTTTCTACGAGGTGGCCTGGCTAGGTTTGGATGGGCCAAGACAGAGAAGAGCATTGTATTTCTTCCCCCCATCAGACCAGGAGCATGGGGAGATGGTGGGTTTAACACCTGGGCTTGAGTTTAATGCCTGGGCTGGACCAACTTTAGCCAGCAGAGCTGGTTCCTCTGAGCCTCCATGTCCTTATCAGAAGCATAGAGATAATAAAGCACCATCAGTACAGAGCCCTGGGGAGGGTTCCTGAAAGCGTGGAAAGCATGTAGCCCAGAGCTTAGGCCACAGCAGCAGCAGCTCAGAAGGGGCCCCTCCTTCTTTGCTGGGCTCCTGTGCTTTGAACCACCTTACTTCCTCTTTGCCTTCAAAGTGGACCCCTGCAGGGTCTCCGCCACAGTCCCCTTCCCTAGGCCAACCCCTCCTCCTTTCCCTATCAAAAGGCGGTTTTATTACAATATCTCCTTGTTTCCTGAGTCCCCCTAAAGGGACTCCTCCCCAGCTATCTTCATTTCCACCTCCTCAGTCAAATTCCTCAAGCTGTTTGTATAGACATTTCTCCAAAGAAAATATACAAATGGCCAATAAGCACATGAAAACATGCCTGACATCATTGTCATTAGGGAAATGCAAATCAAAACTGAGCTGAGATACAAGTTCACCCTCCTAGGCTGCTATAATTGAAGAGATAGCCAATAACAAGTAAAAACAAAGATGTAGAGAATTGGAATGATCATACACTGCGAGTGGGACTGTAAATGCAGCTACTGTGGAAAAATGGTTTGGCAGTTCCTCAAAGATTTAAATGTAGACTTGCCATGAGATCCAGCAATTCCATTTGTACCTATATACCCAAGTGAGTTGCAAACATGTCTACATTTATACCTGAATGTTCATAAGACCTGAAATAATCCAAATATCTGTCAACTGATGAACGGATAAAGTAAATGTGATATATTCATGCAATGGAATCTTATTCATTCATAAAAAAGATGAAGTACTAATGCATGCTACAACATGAATGAACCTTGAAAACATTAATTGAGGCTCGGCGCCTGTGGCTCAAGCGGCTGGGGCGCCAGCCACATACACCTAAGGTGGCGGGTTCGAATCCCCAGCCCGGGCCCGCCAAACAACAATGATGGCTGCAACCAAAAAATGGCCAGGCGTTGTGGCAGGCGCCTGTAGTCCCAGCTACTTGGGAGGCTGAGGCAGGAGACTCGCTTGAGCCCAGGAGCTGGAGGTTGCTGTGAGCTGTGATGCCACGGCACTCTACCCAGGGGGATAGCTTGAGGCTCCGTCTCAAAAAAAAAAAAAAGAAAAGAAAAGAAAACATTAATTGAAAGAAGTCAGTCAGAAATGAGCACATGTTAAAAAAAATTAAAAAAACCAGAGCACATATTATGTGATTTCCTTTACATGAGATGTGCACTCTGGGCGAGTCTATGGAAACAGAAAGCAGATTGGTGGTTGCCAGAGGCTGGGGGGAGGGAGGAAGGGCAGGTGACCACTAATGGTATGGACTTCTTGTGGGGGCATGAAAATGTTCTAGCACTGAATACTGGAGATGGTGGTACAGCTTTGTGAATGTCCTGAAAACCTCTGGATTGTGTATTTTAAAAGGACAGATTTTATGGCATGTGAGTTGTATCTCAATTTTAAAAGTCCTCAGGTTTCCAGGTGCCTTTTATGAGGAGCACAGCACTACTCGGGGCAGTTTAGGACTCTGTGGCCCCCTCCCCAGGTTTGCCTTCCAGGCCTGGAGATGGAGTGAGAGTGTTCCCTGGGTCAGAGGGGTCCTTAGGTCACTTTTCAGGCTCCAGAAGGAGCATGTTGAGCGAGGGGAAACTCCTGCCCCCGTGAGAGGAACGTGAAACAATGAAGGCTTCCGGCAGGAAGTGGCGCCCCAGGAGGGGAGGAAGGCCAGGGAGGCCTGGACTGCCAGGAGAGACAGGTGGTTCCCATCTAAATGGAGGGGTGGAGTCTCCTCGGATAGGACTTCCATGGTCCCCACTGACAGTGAGCTCAGGAAACCCTCTGAGCTCTAAAACTGACTCTAAAGGAGCTCAGTTTCTACTGACTGCAGGGAGTGGGATGCTGGCAAGGTTGCCATAGTTACCGTGAGAGGAGCGCCCACATGCCTAACAGGGGCCAAGGGGCCAAGATAGCTTGACTAGTGATGTGGTTTGATGGTATGATTTGGGGATTGGTTAGCTCTGTGATTACATGTGGGTTGGCATCCTAAGTGAGGGTTGATATCTTTTCCAAACAAACCTAGGAAAAGCCTCTATTCCTTGATTATGGACCGAGCCTTGGCCCTGCACCTGGCCCCAGAACCCCAATCCTAGACTAAGCTAGACACACGCAGGCCTAGACTTGATCCCCAAGATCATGGCTATCTCATGACTGTAGCCCCAAAGGGGACTGAGAGACTGTGTATGGTTAATCCCTACTGCTGAGGTCACTGCTTGCAGGTTTTTTGTGGGAGGGAGTCGGCAGCTTCTCCCTGGGAGGGAGGTTTATGCTGGCGCACAGTGAAGGTATGACACAGGTGATTGGGCCAGCAGGGGCACAGGGAACACTAACCTCCTAGGAAGATCCTTTCTGTCACTGCCATCTAGTAGTCAGGAAGGCTGAAGGTGTTTTGACTATCAGGTTCTGCCCAACCACTAAGATCTCTTCCCCTGAAACACCTTAGTTCTGAAGTGTAGGCTGCTGGGTCAGGGCCATCCTCTGGGATTCCATCTCCACTCTCACCACCTGGATGTCGGTCCCTCAGGGTCAGAGGGTGAGAGGCCCCAGATGCCAGACAAAGAAACCAAGGCCATGGTGGGCACAGAAGACACACCTGGCAAAGCCAGCCCAGGCTCTCAGGACTTGCGGCCAAGTGTGTTCCACAGCATCAAGGTACCTCTCCAGGACTGGCAGGGGCAAGGGCTTCTGAGCTGGGCAGAACAGGGGTGGCACCCTCTGTGGGGGTTGGTATCTGGAGGGGTGGAGTCTCCTAGGATTGGACTTCAGGGGTCCCCACTGACAGTCAGCTCAGGAGATCCTGGGAGCCACCTCTGAAGGCGCTCAGCTTCCTCTAATTGCAGGGAGCAGGATGCTGACACGGTTACCATAGTTACCATGAGAAAAGCACCCACATACTGGCTGTGTAATGTCAAGCAAGCCCTTCTCTGAACCTTGGTTTCCTCGCCTGTAGAATGGGAGGCTGTGAGGATCAAAAGAATGACCCATAAAAGCCCCCAGCTGGGTTTTAGACACATGGAAAGTGCCCAGTACATGTTCCCTCCTTCCTGAGAGGAGAGGGGCTGCTCTGGGAAAGAGTCCCCTTGTTTCTGGCTTTCCTAGAGAAGTAGAGAAGTGCCCTGAACCTGGATCAGTAGTGGGGTCCTGGCTCCACCAAGGGCAGCTGTAAGCGTCCTACTGGGCACCAGACCCCATGCCTGGTCCTTTTCACACATGACCCTACTTGGTTCCTTTTTTTGTTTTTTGAGACAGAGTCTCACTCTGTCCCCTGAGTACAGTGCCATAATATCATAGCTCACAACAACCTCAAACTATTGGGCTCAAGTGATTCCCTTGCCTCAGCCTCCCGAGTAGCTGGGACTACAGACACCCACTATGACACCCAGCTAATTTTTCTATTTTTAGTAGAGACCAGGTTTCACTCCTGCTCAATCTGGTCTCGAACTCCTGAGCTCAAGCATTCTGCCTGCCTCAGCCTCCCAAAGTGCTGGGATTACAGGTGTGAGCCACTGCACTCTGCTTCCTACTTAGTCCTTAAAATAATCCTGGGAGGCACCACCATTGTCCTCATTGTACAGATGAGGAAACCTAGACGCAGAGAAAAAGAGTGTATTAAGCTCTGGCATAAATACTCTGTTTTTTAATTCTTCAAGCAAATTTTCCTTCTGCTAGGAATTCTGACAGTTTTTTTTAGGAGGAAGACTACAGGCAGGCTGGGGTGTTTGGGGCAGGTGGGGGTGGGCAGCTTGGGGACCCAGTGGGCAGTGTGGTGGAACAGTGAAGAAGGGCCAGTCCATCCCAGGGGGAGTTCTGAGGGCCAGAGGGGGCTCCTACCACTCTCAGTCAGGTGACTCTCTGGTAGCACCCCCCCACCCCTTTACCCAGGTTCCCAGGGTATACCCAGGGCAGCTTTTCTAGTTTTTAGGCCTGTGTGAGAAGCCTACTACATGGGCTGGCTACTCCAATAACACGCTCTCTTCTCTCTCTCCCTGTCTGCCTTTCTGTTTCTGCTTCTCTCTCTGCCCCTCTCTCTCTCTCTCTCTGTCTCTCCGTCTTCTTTGATCACTCTCTTCTCTTGTTCGTCACTCTGCCTCCCTGTCTCTCCTGTGTGGGTCTCCCCTGGCTGTGTCTCCCCCATTGCTATCCCTTGCTCCTCTCGTGACCTCGTTCTCCCTCTCTTTCCCCACCTTCCTCTCCCTGTCTCCCCCCGCTCCCCCCTCCATCTCTGCCCCTTGCGTCTCCCCAACAGCTCTTCGTCCTGTGCCACAGCCTGCTGCAGCTGGCGCAGCTCATGATCTCTGGCTACCTCAAGAGCTCCATCTCCACGGTGGAGAAGCGCTTCGGCCTCTCCAGCCAGACTTCGGGGCTGCTAGCCGCCTTCAACGAGGTACTAGCCCTGGCCCAGGGACAGGGGTGGACATTGGGGATGACTTGCACCCCTATCTCTTGCCAACCTCCCCCTCACTTTACTGCCATAAACCCTTCTCTTCCTGGTGCCCTTGGGCAACTCCTATCACACCTGCTAGCCCGAAACCTCCAAACCTTGGAATATTTGCAACTGTCTTCTAAGACCTGGCAATCCTCCCCTTGGAAGCACTCTACTTGGGACGTGGCATATCTCAGTGCTACCCAGGGTCCCCACAGCCACCCCCTCTCCCTTTGGTTCCTTTGCCTTTACCCAGCTATTGCCCGTCCTAGATAAGATTCAGGGAAAGTCACTTCAATAGTAGTCGGCTGGGCACAGTGGCTCACGCCTGTAATCCTAGCACTCTGGTAGGCTGAGGTGGGAGGATCCCTTAAGCTGAGGAGCAGCCTGAGCAAGAGTGAGACCCCATCTCTAATAAAAATAGAAAAGTTAACCACACTTTGTGGTGGGTGCCTATAGTCCTAGCTACTTGGGAAGCTAAGGTAGGACAATCACCTGAACCCAGGGTTTGAGATTGCTGTGAGCTATGACACCACAGCACTCTAGCCTGGGGTAACAGAATGAGACTCTGTCTCAAAACAAACAAAAAAACTGTAGTGAGGAGACGTAAGTTACTTCAAGAACAGCTCCTATATATCTTGGGGTTGGGGGAGGGAGGGACTCCATGAAGTATCTGTCCTCAGAATTGCCCAGGAATCTGCAGGCCTGCAGGGCCCACATCCAAGCAGAGAAGCAGATGAGCTGCTTTGGGTGGATTTGGAGATCAGAGTCCAGCTGTGCCCCAGCCCCTCCCTCGCCAGATGTTCTCACCCAGCAGAACAGGAAGCTGTCTGTTTTTCCCCAGCCCTGGGCTGATTTTTGTGAAATTCTCTCTCCTTGGGTAGTGTGTCATATTCCTCCGACCCAAGGCCTGTCTGGGTGCTTTTCAGCACCCGCCTTCAGGCCTCAGAGGAGGGAAGGGAAGTCCTTACCTTGCTCTGGGACCCCAGGCACATCACTCTTGGTCTTTAGGCCTCCTGTTCCATTTGTCAAATGGAGCGTGCTTATCCTTCCCAGGGTCAGTCCCCATCCCACCCCCTCTACTGACATTGCTCTCCTCCCCTATCAAGGAGTCTGAGGCTCACCTGAGTCCCCAGCCAGGAAGCCATAGAGCAGGTGCACCCCTAGCTTGTGCCCTTGCCATGCAAGCTCTCAAGCCCCCTCCAGCACCCATATCCTAGGATTGTGATCCTAAGGCTCAAAATTCTAACCCTTGATCCTCTGACTTTAGGTTTGTTTTTTTTTGTTTGTTTGTTTGTTTGTTTTGAGCCAGAGCCTCAAGCTGTTGCCCTGGGTAGAGTGCTGTGGCATCAGAGCTCACAGAAACCTCAAACTCCTGGGCTTAAGCGATTCTCTTGCCTCAGCCTCCCAAGCAGTTGGGACCACAGGCTCCTGCCACAACACCCGGCTGTTTTTTGGTTGCAATTACCATTGTTGTTTGGCACATCCAGGCTGGATTCGAACCTGCCAGCTCTGGTGTATGTGGCTGGTGCCTCAGCCACTTGAGCCACAAGTGCCAAGCCTGACTTTACATTTTTTTAAATGTATTTCTCTCATTTATGATGTGCCTGAAACTCAAATGCCTTTCCTTGACTACCCACCCTCTTCTATGTTCTAACACAGGATCCAATCTATATTCCAAAATGAAATCAAACTTCTAGCTTTCTCCGTTCTGCCCTCATTTCTCTCCCCTACTGGGGCAGTGGAGCCCTCCCTAGGAGGAACCAGAATCTATTTATAAGAGGGACTCAGATGATTCTTATTCCGTCCATTCTACAGATGGTAACACTGAGGTTGGTGATGGAGACAAGGATAGTACAGCCCCCAGCCCTGGGTTCTGCTCTACTTTAACAGGTCTCCTTGTCCCTGTGCAGGTGGGAAACACGGCTTTGATTGTGTTTGTAAGCTACTTTGGCAGCCGGGTACACCGGCCCCGACTGATCGGCTGTGGGGCTGTCCTTGTGGCCCTGGCAGGCCTGCTCATGACTCTGCCACACTTCATCTCGGAGCCATACCGCTATGATCACACCAGCCCTGGTAAGAGCAAGAGGAGCCAGGCAAGAGAGGGCTGTGAGCAGCTGCCCTGGGGCACTGTGCACTGGGCCATCCACAGACCTCTATCAGGCAGGATGAGCCCCAGCATCCCAGAGCCCCTTCTAGTTCTCTCTGATGAACCTGGGGAGTGGGGTAGGTTCCAGGGTAGGGCTTCTCTTGATGAGAACCTGCTTGTATGTCACTGTTTTATTTTGTTTTTTGAGGTGGGAGTGTATTTATAACACATCCTATTTAGGGTCTGGCATGTAGTAGTTAGTTCCTTAGGAAACGAATGCAGAATGATAAAAACAGTATCATATAGTATTTACTGTGCACCAGACACTGCTCTAAGGACCTCATTGTGTGTTCATTCATTCTCACAAAATGCCAAGACATGGATGAAAGAAAGAATGTAGGAGTGAATGAACAAATTAAAAAAGGAAGACTTTTAGACAATAGTGAAACTATGTCAGCCCAGTGGGATTTTGTTGAGGGCTTACTTGACATAGGAATGTCTGTCCCTTAGAGTATGACCCAAGCAACCTGAGCATTCACTTCATTTCTTCCTTCCCTCTCCTATATCATCCATCCACCCAACCATCTACCCCTCCATCTACCTATTCATTCATTCATCTATCCACCCACCCACCTATCCACCCATTCATCCATTCACCCCTCCATCCATGCATTCACTCTCCCATTTATCTATCCATCTAGGCAACAGTCTACCCAACAAACCCTTAATGCTGCCTATTTTGTGCCAGACCCTCTGAGGGGAACTCAGTCCTTGCCTTCAGGGAGCTCCCAATCTGGGAGAGGACACAAAGACAAAGAAAAGTCCCAGTGTGTCAGTTGTGTGAGGGAAGCACAGGGGTGGGAAGAGCCCATACCCTAGACTGGCATCAGGGAAGACTTCCCAGGAGATGAGCTGTCAGAGAGCATCCTTCCTCCCTCACCCTCCCACCAGCTCACACCTCTGGAGCCCCCCCGCCCCATGTGCCAGGACCAGGGGATGGAAGGATGAAGCAGACATGACTCAGTGGAGTGTGGGACTGGCATGAGCATGGGCTACTTTGTTATGAGATAGAGAGCCCAGCCCCTGAGGAGGTGGCAGAGGGAGCCATCAGAGCCCTGAGCAGAGGAAGGACACTGCAGCTGAAAGGAGGTAGAGGAGGTGGCACATCAGAGGCAGCTCAGAGAGAAGGAAGGCATTGTGGTGGGGGTGGGGTGGGATGCAGAGGTAGAGAAGGGGGAGCACAGAGCATGCGTGAAGAATGCAGAGTGGTTGTCTAGGCCTAGGTGAGACTTGTCAAGAGGACCACTTGCAAGACCAAAAGTACTACTGCCCCACATTTCCTTACCCCGAATTTTCACTTTAACAGAGTTTTTTCTGGGCAGGATCACACGTGTTCTTCTTCATCCTCATTGCATGCAACATCCTCTGCCATAGGCTCCCTGCCTGAGACCCTGAGCAAAGTCCTTGGGCTGTCTAAGCCTCAGTCTTCACACTGGCCCAAAGAGTGGGTGTCCAAGCCCTCAGTCTGCTCTAGCACTCTAGACTATTTCATTCGTTCATTCTGCATCCAATATTTAAGCCCTATTCTGTGCCAGGCCCTCTGAGAGACCCTGGGGACAGTGGGGTGGAAAGGGCAGACATGATCTCTAATAGTCATTGTATCTAACATCTAGTAGGCACAGTGCAGGACACGCTCACCACTCACCACTGATAAAGTTAACAACTCCTGAGTCTCAGAGAGGGGAAGAGTGACCCAAGGCCCACCACCAGTAGAACCCCACCTATAGCCCTGCCCTGAAGCCCCTGCTCTCATCTACTGAATTATTCTGCCTCTGAATTCCTTATCTCTGGAGAGCTTTGTTCTAATCTAGGAGATTCATTTGAGAGATAAAGAAACCAAGGCCCAGGCCGCTTTGCTTGAAGGCCTAAGTCTGGGTTCCTGACCTTGGTTCACAAGGCTCCTGGCAATCTGGTGGGGCGGTACTGTGGGCTGGGCTGACACAGCTCAGAGTCCCTGCTCGGTAAATGGAGGGCCACAGAGAAGGGCCACTTCTACACACATGTTCAGGATAATAATAGTGTATGGGTCTCCTCAAGTTTGCTCGCCAAATATTGGTGAGCCTCAGGGAACAAATGTCTGGTACTAATTTAAGAAATTATTTTCTGCACTCTGCATCTGTGTCCCAAGCTGACACTGAACCCTCCCTAAAGTGAATGCCAAGGGCCTCACAGCACTCCGTGATCCAGCCCCAGCTACCAGACCCTTCCCACCCCTGCCAGACTCTGCCTTTAACCCTGGCCTTGCCCTCACACTTTGTGATCTAGATTTTCTGATCTTCTCATTCTACCAAGACGGAGCCCTTTCAAAGCCCTGGGTTTTGCCCATACTGTGACTTCTCCCTGGAACACCCCTCCCCTCCCTCTCTAGGAAATCACATTTGTTCTTCTGGATCCAGTTCAAACTCTACCTCCATTGATTACCTCGCCCCACCCAAGTTGCCATGGTGCTTTTAAATGTCTCTGCCCTGAAAGGTAGCACAGAACAGTTACAGAGCATGGACTCTGAAGCCCAACTACCCGGGTTCCAGTACTGGCTCCAATCCCTCGCATTGCAGTCTGAGCACCAGTTTCCTCACCTGTGAAATGGGGGTAATGAGCGCACATTTCCATGAGGTTTGTTGTGGGGATGAAATGATTTGTGTACACAGCACTTAGAACAGTACCTTCCATCCAGTAGGTGCTATTTAAATCTTAGCTACTGTCCTCTTGTTTTTCATCATCATCTCTCAGGGGATATGCCGGAGGACTTCAAAGGTTCCCTGTGCCTTCCCACAACCTCGGCCCCAACACTAGCTCCCTCCAACAGCAGCTGTTCGAGCTACACAGAGGTCCGGCACGTGACTGTGGTGGGGATAATGTTCATGGCGCAGACCCTGCTTGGTGTAGGCACCGTGCCCATTCAGCCCTTCGGCATCTCCTACATCGATGACTTTGCCCACAACAGAAACTCGCCCCTCTACCTCGGTAAGGGCTTGTGCACACCTTGACCTCTGAGGGTCAGGCCAGCTCTGGTAGGAGGAAGAGAGGCCCAGGGTGGGGGCTGAGGATGAGAGTCCCTGACCTCTGCCCTACCTGGCTGTTAATGTCTGGAGAAGCCCTGGACAGTTCTCCAGCCCAGACCAGGAGTGGGGGGTGGCGGGGCGGGGGTGGGGAGGAGCGGTGTTGTTCCCATCAAAGACCAGGCAGGCATCGATCTGCTAAGGGAAGCCAGGGCTGGAGGGGCCTGACCCAGGCTTTGCGTTGCAGGCATCCTGTTTGCAGTGACCACGATGGGGCCAGGCATGGCCTATGGGCTGGGTGGCCTCATGTTACGCCTTTATGTGGACATTGACCGGATGCCAGAAGGTGAGTCCCCTGGGACACACAGACACTAGCTAACTGCTGCTCTCATAGAGACACAGATCCAAGGCACCTAAGCTCAAATTCCAGTAACACCAGTGACCTTGGACATGCCCCTTAACCTCCCTGAGCCTCAGCTCTCTCACCTTTGAGATAACCTCTGTCCTGCCTATCTCCCAAAGCTATAGTCGGTGTCAGTGAGATGGTGGAGATAAACTGTAGAGTGCCCTCAGATGAGGAGTTGTGATTGCTGTTACTGCTATTATTAGGAGTCATCACCCTGTCCCACCTTACACATGCTGTGTGGTGACAGAAGAACATACTCTCTTAGCTTGTAGGGAGCTCTTGTCTTCAGGGAAAAAGAAGACTCAAGTAAAGCCAAGAGGACAATGGCACACTGCAGAGAACTTCTGGAACAGGATTTAGTGACTCAATGTGTTACTTTGTGCCTTTCTCAGATGGGATATTCCCAGATGACTTCTGAGAACCCTTCTTGTTCTGACTACCTCAGAGTCTGGGAAACTGCCGGGGCACCACTTGGGAAATGGTGGTTAGCTGTTGGTTAGAGTGGGCCAACGAGTGGGACTTGCCTAGCTGCTGGTTAGAGTGGGCCAATGAGTGGGACTGAAGCTTGGTCTGAGGGGGCCAGGAGGAGATTCACGTTAGAATGTGTCACTGCAGCTTCTCAGCTGCCTGCTTGTCACACCGAGCAGCTCTGAACCTCTAGGTGTGCCTTCAGTCACTCCGAAGTCCTTTCTCCCTGGAGACTTTCCAGTAGGCCCTGACAAGCTCAGGTGACACGGGTGTGGCTGGCTGAACATGCAGATGCTGCTTCTTGTTCCCTAGCTTTTGTCCACAGATGCCTCCAGGCAGTTTGAGTCTGCTCAGCTCTGTGCAACAGTCAGTAGGGATAACCCTGTCCCTCGTCCCTTCTAGAAGAGGGTGCTAAGACTGGGCTTTAGTTGCTACTCCTTTTACCCCAGGGGTTCCCTAGGTTCCCAGACACACCTCAGTTCCGTGGAAGGGGACGTGTTTTCTGACACACTTGACATCACCCTGGCAGGCGGGGCATCTCCACAGGCAGACATGGTGTTTCTGTGGGCCCACGTGCTACCTCCCACGTCATTTTTCTTTATGGGGGACTTCATAGGATGAGTGGATGATGCCCGCTGCAGGCACAGACAGGCATTTGAGAAGTGGAGGAATTGGTGAGAGGCAGCTGTGAGCCCCCCTTCCCAGCCTGGCACAGGGGCAGGGGAGATGATAAATGAAGGAGGAAATCAAGTCTAATCAGTGCAAAAGCCAAACTCCTCCCCACTCCGTGGCTACACTGCTGAGTGCCAACTGTGTATTCTGGCCACTACCCAAGAGGAGCTCAGGATCAAGCACTGGGGAACCAGCTCTGCACAAGGGGTTGGCGTTATCATGCATCTGCATGTTTAGGAAGTGTTTGCAGCTGCTGTGGAGACTGAGGGAGAATGTACCCAGCTCAGCCTTGATGGCAGATGTTTGCTGGGAGATTTGAACACTTGTCAGGAGGTACACCTGCGATAATCTAGTCCTAATGAAACCTGTTGGGGGATCCAAATCACCTGGATATCTTGTTAAAGGTTCCAGTTCCTTGGTCACCTTTATACCCTACCCCATGGTCATTCTAAACGGGTCTTCATTAAGGTCAGGTACTTTTGATAAGCCTCCCTGGGGATAATCATCCTGCAGGTCTCAGAACCACAACAGAAGCCCTAATGGTTCATTTAATAATAATTGCTATGTACAACAGTGATAAGAAGGAGGAGGAGACACCTGTATAGAACATACTCTTCTAAGTGCTTTCCAAGTGTTAGTTTCTTTTTTTTTTTTTCAGTTTTGGCTGGGGCCGGGTCCGAACCCGCCACCCCTGGAATATGGGGCTGGTGCCCTACTCCTTGAGCCACAGACTCCACCCCTAGTTTCTATCTTTTTACAACAACCCCATGATGTAAGAAATATTACTATCTGTATTTCACGGAAGAAATGGAGGCAAAAAGAGGTCAAGTAGCTGCCCAGGGGTGAGTCAATAATGGCATATAGACCTAGATTTCCATTTCCAAAGTCCATGACCTTGACCACTAACTGCATTGCCTTAGTACTTGAAGAAGCCAATCCCAGAAAGGGTCACACAAGACAACTGAGAGAGCCAAGACTAGAACTCAGATCTGGTTCCGAGCTTGGGCTGCCCCATGTTTCAGAGACCAGTCCTGGGGGGTGGCTTAGAAGTGACTGCCTACTCTGACCCGAATGTCACCTTGGTCTTCTCTTTCAGGTGGTATCAACCTGACCAGAAAGGACCCCCGCTGGGTGGGTGCCTGGTGGCTGGGCTTCCTCATCTCTGCTGGCTTGGTGGCCCTAGCTGCCATCCCCTACTTCTTCTTCCCCAGGGAGATGCCCAAGGAGAAGCATGAGCTTCACTTCCGTCGAAAAGTCTCTGCCCTTACAGTCTCATCTGTCAACAAGGTAAGCCCACTCCAAGTCCCTTACCCTACCGAGTCCAGGCTCTTCTCCCACCCACTGTCCTCCTTTGCAGCATTACACTTCATGCCCCAGGCCCTGTTCTCCACAGCTTATCAAGCTGATTCACCACAGGGCTCCATTGCACCCTCCCACAGCCCTGTATGGTGAATAATACAATAATACCTGCCCCTTCCAAGCAGAAGAGATCGGGAGCCAGAGATGGAAGTGATTATCCAAGGTCACAAAGCCAGCAAAGGCAGTGCTGGGATAAGAACCCATGCCTATCTAAGTTTATGCAGTGATTATCCAAGGTTACAAAGCCAGCAAAGGCAGTGCTGGGATGAGAACCCATGCCTATCTGAGTTTATGCCCCTCACACCCACTACTATGTGGCCGCCTCTGGGTTGCCATTGCAAGGTTTTGTAAATTCTGAATTTGCTGTAGGAATGCTAAGAACTTGAAGGGTGGATGAGACAGTCTGGGAACAGTTCTGTGTAGAGAAGGTTTTGAGCTGGACTTTGAAGGGTGTGCAGAAGCTTGAGAAGGAGAGGGTGGGGATAGAAACAGCCTGGGCAAAATGATTTGGCTTAGAAATGAACCTTTCAAGGACAGTGAAGGGAACAAACACATTCTGAATATCTCCTTGGGGTCAGGCTCCAGGCTGGACACTAGAATCAGTACACAGTGGGCATATCTGTTGAGGACAGGGACTCATGGCAAGTAATAGCAATGGGTCTGATGCTCCAGGGATGTGTATCTTCTGCTCAGCTCAGAAGAGGTAGGGAGGATTTGCCCAAGATCCCAAAGCTGGTAGGAGAGGGCAGGACCCTGTGAGGCATTGGCCAGGATTGATGATTCCAGCACAAGGGCCTTCAAGTTGTCTATGGCCTGAAAAACAATAAACTGGCTCCAAATTAAAAAGAAAATAATAAAATAGAAATAGTTTCTTTTAAGTTTAATTGTATGTCACTAATACAAACTCCATTAATTTTTCTTTAATACTCATACACATTTCATTACATTCTGAAAATCTGTGCATTAGATTTCCTCTTTCCCCAAGTATAGGAGGAGGTGGTCGTTAAGAAATCACAATCATAAATTACTTGTTGCTAAGTAATTCTCCTTTCAAAAGGATGATTTATAAAAATCCTGTTGACTATTTCATACCAAGAAAATTTCTCTTTCCTGCAGCAGGTCAGTGTATTTGAACGTGTTGCTATAATGTGGGAGACAGGGAACCTGATCAGGTGGCTCTGACAGCGGTCCAGGCAGGAAGCAGTGCGCTGGTGGTGAGGGGTTGTGGGTGCACAGGCGTCCCAGGAGGGGCCTGCTCAGAGTTAGGTGCCGCTCTGCTAGGGGATGTCCCAGAGGTAGTGATGGGCACTGGGATTGGGTGCAGCTGGCTCAAAGGCAAGAAAACCAGCTTCAGGGGAAGAAGACAGCTGGGAACCCCGGATAGTTCCTGGTTCTGCCTACTCATATCAAAATTTGGTTGAGATGGAATTCCTGGAACTTGAAGAAGAGTTCTGGGAATTGAGAGTCCGTATAGAGGAAGAAGAGAGCCTGGCCTGCTGGTAGCTGGGTCCTGAGTGCAAGCACAGTACAGTACCACGTGGGCCATGGGGTGGAAGAGGCAAAGGTTGGGGGCGGGAGCCTGAGCTGAGCTCAGATACATGGCTGCTGAGTGGCTTTTAGCAGCAAATCACTTCCCTATTCCAAGGGGCTGTGTAAGTTGCTGAGCTGAGATTCCTGGAGCAATAGTCTATGCACCTCGGGTTCTGAGAATGCATGATTCCTTGAGTCAAAGCTGCTAGGATTCAGAGATTGCCATTATAAGAGCTGTGTCTCAGTAATGCCTTGAAATCCTGGCTCCCTGGCTGTGAACCTGTCTGACTGTCTGGATTCATTTTGTCAGCACACTGGGGATGGGAGACGGGAGGGGATGGGGTGAGAGGTTCTTTTTAAAGAACCTCGGGCTGAGAACATGATGATCTGCTTCCAGCAGCTCTCAGGCAATAAATATTGATGTGGGAGGAATTGTTCCTCTGCCTCCTTGAGGCTGCCTAGGCCGGGTCTGCTTACAGTAACCTGGCTGGCCTGCCCAGTTAGAGCCACTGACAGCAGGGGGATGGGCCAGGAAGAAAGGCTCAGTTAGGCAGACTCGGCTGCCAGAAAGTCCAGATACCCAGATGGAGGATGTGTATCTTCTGTAGGAGGCAGGGGCGGTGAGGACAGGGGGAGGAGAAAATGAAGAGAGGGTTATTTCTGAACTCTCTCTAGGCATCCCCTCCCAGTCTCAAGGCTCAGGGGTCTCCTAAATACCCTTCTAGAAGTAAATTCAGGTTTCAAAAGTACTCAGGAGATGGCAGTGTATAATATAAAATATTGGGTGGAGCCTGTGGCTCAAGGAGGTGGTGGGTTCAAACCCAGCCCTGGCCAAAAACTGAAAAAAAAAAAAAAATCGGACAAGGTCTGTCAACCCTGACAGGTTTGTGCTATCACTTCTAAATGGCGCCCTGTCACTGGAGCAGTACATGAACATTTTTATAGAAGGATAGAGAGGTGCACCCCACAGTTTCTGTCCCAAGGAGCTCTGAGATAGTGAAGGAAGGCCGGATGCAGAGATACAGGGGGTAGCCAGTAACATAGCCATGGTTTCTCCTGTGACTATGGGGTTCTTCACTGAGGGACAAGGACATTAACAGTCCCTACAGAGAAGACAATGAGGTGGGTAGGTATGTATGTGCCACACAGGGCATGGGAGGGTGGTTTCCTGCCCTTGGCTCTGTCCCTGCATCTCTGACCTTAGAGCTCAGGTAGCCACCCAGACACCCTCCTACAAGTGATCTAGGACAGGACTGCCCAGCCTCTCGCTGGGCATTAGTCTCCCCATCTACAATCAGCCCATCTGTAAGGTCTTGTCAGGCCCTAGGACTCCTGGCAGATGGCTCTGCATGACCTGCAGAGTAAAGGTGGCCTCTTGGGGCTCCCTGATAGATCCTCTGTTGCTGGAGCGGTAGTGTCCCCATGTAGCCATCAACCTTCCTGTGTTCCCCATGTCCTTTGGGCTTTGTGAGAACCATCCCTTGGGGCTGAGTCAGGGCCCGGGAAGGTCCCAGACAGCTACTTCCTGGCAGAGAGACCTCTTCCATCCAGGTCCCTGCCCCTGTCCAGCCTCAGAGCACCTGACTCTGTTACCTTCCCTTGCTTGATATGTCCATGTGTCTTTCATTTCTGGGATGTCTCTGGGAGTTTGAGATTCTAAAATTATATGGTCTTAAAGTTCTGTGTTTCTAATAGAGATCCCTAAGTACCGTGCTCTATTATTCTAAGAGTCTTTTCTCAGATAGCCTGAGACTCCCCAGATCCACATTTCTGTACGATTACATTTTGGCTAAGAGTCTGTAAGTCTGTGAAGTCTGCTGCCCATCAGTCATTAGCCTCAATGCACTTCTTCGGGAGAATGGTCAAGAGTGGGGACAGAAGTGGGAGGTGGCAATGGTCCTTCAACACCAGAGCTTAGGGCTGCTTTATCGGGATTTGCCCAACCAGAAGGGCCCCATTCCCTGGGACTTGTGTTCCCACTGAGCCTCTGTGAATTCTGAGGTAGTGTAGGTATTTTTCTGTCCCTTGTGTTCCTTCCTTGCGGGCACCACCTTTAGACCCCTCTCTTCTAGCTGGGGAGCCCTCTTATGTCCTTCCCCAGCCCTGGCAGTCCGGGGCTTCTGATCTCCATTCTATACCGTTGCAGGGCTTGAGCGATTACACAGTTCAACCTTCATTCCATCTCACAGATGGAGGGATGGAGGTCCACAGAGAGTCAAGGACATGCCCAGAACTTGGCCAGCACCTATGGTCCCTATGTTTGTCTGTATAAAGCCAGGATCTGGACCCAAAGTGCTGAGGAGAGCCTCCTCCCTCAATACACAGAGCTTCCTCAGACATCAGGGCTGGAGGCCACTTTGGGGTGATCTGCTTGAGTGGTTTTCTTTTTTTTTTTTTTTTTTTTGAGACAGAGCCCCAAGCTGTCCCCCTGGGTAGAGTGCCGTGGCATTACAGCTCACAGCAACCTCCAACTCCTGGGCTCAAGTGAGTCTCCTGCCTCCGCCTCCCAAGTAGCTGGGACCACAGGCGCCCGCCACAACGCCCGGCTATTTTTTGGTTGCAGCCGTCATTGTTGTTTGGCGGGTCCGGGCTGGGGATTTGAACCCGCCACCTTAGGTGTATGTGGCTGGCGCCTTAGCCGGTTGAGCTATAGGTGCCGAGCCGCTTGAGTGGTTTTCAAGAACCCCAAGGGCTAAGGGCCTTTCACCCCCATAACACAGACACACACTCACTTTCATCAGAGTAGTAGTTTAGCTTTTATTCATTTTTATACTAGTGTTTAGAATGAGATTTCAGTTGGGAAAAATGTTCTGTTGCTGAAAACCAGCAACAGTAATCTAGTTCAATATCCCCATTTGACAGAGGAACAGACTGAGGCTAAAGAGAGGCACGAAGGATAGCTGATCTGGCTCATGAGGCCCCACTTGAGTTTTCTTGGTGTCTGAGGCATCCTACAGTGGCAGGGATGGGGCCAGCTGTGGCGGGGGTTAGACACGTGCTGTCTGCACCCTACTGGCCTGGCTCTTCTACTTACTAATTCTGAAATCTATAAAATGAATATAAACAAACATCTACATCCTGGGGTTTTGGTAAGAATGAAATGAAAAGTGGTGAGGTGAGTGATTCAAGGCCAGACACGCAGGCTCAGGAAACGGGAGTGCTTGCTCTTATCATCTTTCCCAGATCCGGCCAGGTCTTAATGGAAACCAGTAGTAGAGAAATTGCCTTTTTTCCTAGTATCTTCCTTATATGTTTTTCTAAATTTATTTTTTCAAAATTTTTAATTGACAAGTAAAACTCTATATATTTCTGGCGTACAACATGATGTTTCGACATACATTGTGGAATGGCTAAATCAAGCTATTTAACACGTGCATTACCTCCTATGCCTGTCATTT